ATCAAGTCATCAACAGTACTGCACATCACCTATAAAAAGTTAACACAAGAAAATGAGTAGAGAAGCTCAATGTTAGTAACAACTCCGATTATGAGCTAAGTACCTTGTAATCAGTTTCTGTTAGACATTTAAATTAAGAGTAACAGCTAATATTTGGATTTGAAAATGGTTTTTTTTTTTTCTCTGTTTGTCCTAAGGAAAATATGTAAAATGAGGCATTTTGGATGATAAGTTAACCCTTGGATCAGGTAAAAACTTATGCAGTATGCAATTCATATATATTGTTTCTCGCACCTCTCTATTTCCAGATGAAGTTCAAGACTTCCATTTCCTTCCAGTCGCTTTATCTGAAAAAATGCATTCAATTGCCTCCAAAATGGTTTATGATTTCATTAACTTTTTCAGGTTGTTTTGTTGGAAAGGGATTGAAGAGTTCAACTTTACATTAGAAATATCTATATTGATGAAAGCCGCAAATGAGCTTTCTAAATGATGTTCTTAGGCAAAGCCAACCTTGTAAACTCATATTGTCTTGAGCCAACAATTTTAGATTATTTGACCAGGTATATATGATGTAGCACAATTGAACTTTAAAAGCTCATTTGCACATAATTAAATGTAAATTGATCTTCTTCTTATCTCTCCATTTTATTGTGAATGTGGAACGGGTAACATTTTCCAAATAGAAGATAAGGGTGAAATTATCCTTTTCTCTACGGGTAAGAAATCAACAATACTGGATGAGTTATCCTCTCTCTTATTTGTTTGATCCTTAAATCCCAATTTTCAAAGGTCTCTCCACGGAATGGAAGAGCTTTTGACCATGGAAAATTACAGGGCATGGATTTTCTTGGACTTTTTCCTGACTTTTCTGGCCATATCAAGGACAGTTTAACGATATATATGAAGGTGGATGCAGTAATGTTTTGAAGTAGTATTATGTGCGAATTATTTCAAGGTGCATGACTGTTACATTTAGTCCTTTGATACGCGCAAAAGTTGTAGATGGACTTATTGGGCTATGCCATACTAGACTAATTCATGGACTTACAGCCGTGAGCTCCTTTGATAATTAATTGGACCATTTTTCTTTGTTCAGAAAGCATCCTATTTAGAACTAGTTCCATTTTAATTTCTTTTCTTCTTTCTTCAGTATCCATCTATTGTATCATTCCAAAAATAGTGATCAGATGCATTCTATATGATTTAATCTTTAATTTTAGTCTTGACTTTATTGTTATTTGGATGAAGAGGGTGTGATTTTTAATGAATTTTACATAATTTTCGTTTAGTGCAAAAAAGAACTTGAGTGCATGGTAATAGAGGTTTTTAGACTTAAGTGAAAATTTTTTAAAAGTTGAGGGACTACATTGTGAGAAGAAAACTTGAAACAGGGACATAATGAATGAATTTGAACTAATAGGATCAAAGCGCTCATCATTTAGAACATAGAGGATCGGATCCGCAATCTTACCATTAAGGAAATTGTAAAATTCCAAAAAGTCCGATACGGAAAGCGTGTCGACACTAGCATTGTCGTGTTGATACCATACGTTAAGGACAGAGACTTCATGTCTGATATAACTCAAAGTAAAAAGCATTGACACTGACTGATGGTGTAGACACCACACCAACCCTAAACAATTTTCAACTTTGAAAGTTTTATTTTTTCAAACGGTGCTATTTCATTTTTAGTAAAATTTTCTTAAACTCTCTAAATACTGATTTAAAATTAGACTTTAAAAAATTTTGGCCAACAAATAATAACGACAACTTAGAATTAGAATTGGCGAAAATTGAGACCAATTCAAAGATTAAATCCAATTCACAT